CATCTAAGCATGTTCTTTCTACTATAACACAAGCTTGTAGTTTGGAATATTTATAACAAAGAAAATCTGATGTCCACACTGGTATACTCATTTTCGTATTTCTTTTGGGAATATGAAAAATCATCATGAGGATTTATTTTTGAAAGTGTTTTCCTAGTTGTAAGATTCCAATTGATAGGTCATAAGTGAACACTTTTCAAATTTCAATCCCAGTTGTTTACTCTTTTCTGCCACAGATGGCGATCAAACAAAGCTGTCGTTTTACAGCCTTGACCGCTACAGTTCCGTACTCATCTCAGTAACCTGCTGCCCCTTTGCACAAAGGACAGCAAGAAGAATAATCCTAGACCACAAGTCAGTACCACACTTCTGAAGTGTTGATCGTCACAGCGTTTTTTCTACTCTCAAGGATGGCATTATGGCAATATATAGATAGACAGGGAGCGTAGCATTCTTTCAAACGAAGACCGGCCGGCCATAAGTAGTGCGTGAGAAGGGACAGTGTCACCGGACACAGCAAGTGTGGTCCCGAGAGCCACATCCCTCTCTCCACCAGCGCGTCTCTTCCGCCTTCGCCATGTCCAAGCAGCACGACGCCTCCGACGACGGCGGCATCCCTGCCGCCGTGGCGCCGGCAAAGCGCCCGCCCCTTAACAAGTACGCCCTCGCCTGCGCCGTCCTCGCTTCCATGAACTCCATCGTCCTCGGCTACGGTACGTCCACGCATGACGCATACAATTCCATGCACTCGTTGCCATATATAGGCACCACGTGCGTACGTGCACCTCATGCGCGTAGTCAATCTATTATTTCTCAGGTTCTGATGATCTGATCCTTCTTATGTATGTATGCAGATGTGTCTGTGATGAGCGGAGCGCAGCTATTCATGAAGCGGGACCTCAAGATCGGTGACACGAAGATCGAGATCCTCGCCGGCATCATCAACATCTTCTCGCTCGTCGGCTCGCTCGCGGCAGGCCGGACGTCCGACTGGATCGGCCGACGGTACACCATGGTGCTCGCGGCGGCCACCTTCTTCGCGGGCGCGCTCATCATGGGCCTCGCCCCGGGCTACGGGATCCTCATGCTGGGCCGCTTCGTGGCGGGCGTCGGCGTCGGGTACGCGCTCATGATCGCGCCCGTGTACACGGCCGAGGTGGCGCCCACGTCGGCGCGCGGCCTGCTCACGTCCTTCCCGGAGGTGTTCATCAACACGGGGTTGCTCCTCGGGTACGTCTCCAACTACGCCTTCCACGGCCTCCCCGTGCACCTCGGCTGGCGCGTCATGTTCCTCGTCGGCGCCGTCCCGCCGTTCTTCCTCGCCCTGGGGGTCCTCGCCATGCCGGAGTCGCCGCGGTGGCTCGTCATGCAGGGCCGCATCGGCGACGCGCGTCGCGTGCTGGCCAAGACCTCTGACTCCCCCGCCGAGGCCGAGGAGCGGCTCGCCGACATCAAGAAGGCCATCGGCATCCCGGACGGCGTCGGTGACAACGACGACGACGAAGTGGTGGTCGTGGACCGCAGGAACAAGCAGGGCAGCCATGGCGAAGGGGTGTGGAGGGACCTCCTCATCCGCCCGACGCCGCCCGTCCGCCGCATACTGATCGCCTGCCTCGGCCTCCAGTTCTTCCAGCAGGCCTCCGGCATCGACTCCGTGGTGCTGTACAGCCCGCGGGTGTTCGAGAAGGCCGGGCTCACGTCGGACGAAAACTCCCTGGGCGCCACCATGGCGGTGGGCGCGTCCAAGACGCTGTTCATCCTGGTGGCCACGTTCTTCCTCGACCGCGTCGGGCGGAGGCCGCTGCTGCTCACCAGCGCGGGCGGGATGGTGGTGTCGCTGGTGACGCTGGCCTCGGCGCTGCACGCCATCGACCGGCTTCCCGAGGGCCATGCGACGCCGCTGGCCGGCGTGAGCATCGCGGCGGTGCTCACGTTCGTGGCGTCCTTTTCGATCGGCATGGGCCCGATCGCGTGGGTGTACAGCTCGGAGATCTTCCCGCTGCGGCTCCGCGCGCAGGGCTGCGCGCTTGGCACGGCGATGAACCGGATCATGAGCGGCGCCATAACCATGTCCTTCATCTCGCTCTACAAGGCCATCACCTTGGCCGGGAGCTTTATTTGTATGCCGGCATCGCTGCTGCCGGCTGGATCTTCATGTTCTTCTTCCTACCGGAGACGAGGGGCAGGAGCCTGGAGGACACCGAGAAGCTCTTCGGCGGTGGCGATCACGGCGAGGACAAGGAAGATGGACACGATGGGCAGAAGAAGTCCACTGAGTTGAGTAGTAGCCAGCCGTGACCTGATCTGCTAGTACGTACGCACGCTAGTATTGTATAACACGAACTGCCGAGTTGGGAATGTGGTCCGATTTGTCAATTCTCAAGGGAACGTGCGGCAAAGCTGCGCGAACTGAACGCATGCACAACTTACATATCCTTTCTACAAAGGATAAGAAACTCTATATGTTACTAGCGCGTTTCTCCCTCTCCAACACTCGATTTTTCCACCCTGTCGAGTATAATATGTGAAGAACCTTTTCACCCTGCCGAATCCGCAAATTCTGTAATTACTGATTAGGGACCCGTGGCCATGGGAGATCTTTAGCAACAGGGTCAAGACTCGAAGAGGGACTCGTTGGCAAATTTGGGTCTTGAGTAATGGCAACTAAAACTGTGAAATTGTTGCTGATTCTACAAATTGAAGTGTTGATTATGACTGTAAGGTAGCTTGTCCTGTAAAGCCTCTCGTACATCATCGATACGCTGGCTGCTGGCGGCTGCTTGATGTTTCTTGCACAACGACGCAGAGAGCAAGATCTGACCATAGGCAACCAAAATTTAGACGTATAGAATTGTTATATTAGCCAGAGTCGTAGTTTTGCAGCTGGAGTCTGGGGGTAGGGGTTTTAAAATTGTTACCCCTAGCACCGCCTCTGCGTTGAAACTCGCTATAATAAACAAAATAGAAGATGAAGCTAAATGCAACCTAAACATGTTGTCAGACATCCTACATGCAAGCTGTTGGGAAACCAACATATTTTGATGCATTCCAAAAGAACAGCTACCGTTAAATATTTTCTCTTACGGGGAAAAAAAACACTTGATGAGGTATCTTTAGGGAGGAAAAGTTACACGGGAAGTTAGACACTTTCATTGTTTAGGTTGCATTTTCCAGTGCCATAATAACAGAACCAATTCAAAACTCTCGGCTTTGTTCTTGTACTGGATATATGATGAAAGCTAATCTACCCATTGTTAGATGTGCTATCCTCTCAGCTGGGAATGGCTGTCAGTGTACAGTAACCATGTAGTGTCTCCAATCAAGAGTAAAGCCCGCGTACTTGTTGATGGGCGGGCGCTTCATAGAAATTTCTGATTTATCTGAAATTTGTGAACAATTTGACATATATTTCTCTGCTATTTGCAATTCATAGAAATAATTTATAATTTTTTTCTAAAAATTTGACATATATTCGTATTATCCCCAAATTACATCACTCTGTTCAATAAATTACACTGAAGAAATCATTTGTAAATAGCGGTGTAAATATACTTATAAGACAATGTAAGTGCAGTTGCAAAAATCTGGTTGTTAGGAGAGACTAAAACAACCAGTTGTTGGCTAGACGACTCTTTTGAAATCAAGTACCCGAGTCCAAGGGGTGCGTAGTAGAGGAGTGTTGACGATTCCTGTACCATCTCTTTAGGAGTAGAGATTCAGCGCAGAGGCGGAGCTAGAGGGCAGGGGTTGTTGTTCTAGGCCTTAGCCCTCGAACATTAGGCTGTTGCTCAAGTAACCGAAAGCACAATAATGAATGAAAGGAACGCGAAAAGATGAAAAGGCACTTGAAAGGCCACAGAAGGAATTAGGGTTTCTTCTTATCTCTTACAATGCTCCTAGAGCACTATTTATACATATATGTATCTTTTATATGGGCATAAATGCCCCTCCAACTACCCAGATCCTGTGGCAAATTCTGATTCGCTGAGGTGTCTTTGGTCCGCCCTGCATTAGACCTCCCCCGCTAAGCGCCTTCCTCGCCTTGTCCCCCCTCTGCTCCGTAGCTGACGCCAGGGGGCGTCCAGGAAACCTTCATTCCATCATTCTCACGGCCGCCTCTTCCTTTTCCCATCTCCTCATGAAAGTAGCCGACCTACATGACACAACATGACTAAGCAACGAAAATACCGCTTGGGTGAAAGAGCATTCGCGTCAAGTTGGAGGATTATCATCATGCGCCCCTTGATCATACTCGCACCCACGGAATCGAGTAGATAGATGTCGCCATCCATGCTCAAAAGGGCTTTTGCCCTCACGGAATGCGAAAAGGTACAAGGGCAATCTTGTCAATAGGTGTTAATTCTTGAAAGGGTCTTGGCGAAAACCTAGACGGCAAGGCAGTACCAACGAAAGGATTCGGGCTTCCCCAACAGGGGCAATGCCCCTAACATAACTATAATTTTTTACTTAATATATAGCTTAATAGTCTATATTAATATAAAAAAGATATGATAAAATATTCTTGTCATATGTATTTATTGATGCCTTCTGGAAAAGAAAATCATACAAGACACAATTAAAATAAAATATCTAATTCAACTATATTTGTTTGCCTACCATATTAAGATATATTTAATGAAATTTTAGATTTACTAATATATGATTCGTTATATTTTATATTTTACTGAACCCATATTTAACTAGTAATAATAATTCAATGGGAGTAAAGTACATGGCCGGTCCTCGAACTTGTGAGGTGTGTCATCCCAGTCTCAAACTCAGAAAGTGTCATTTCGGTCTTCAAATTCTGTTTGGATCTTATATTCATCCAAACGGATATAGAGGCGGGTACGAATTCATATCTATTTGGATGAATATGAGACCCAAGCAGTGTTTAAGGAGCGAAATGACACACCTCTATAAATTCGAGGACTGCCCATAAACTTTACTCTTTTATCAATCAATTGCTCTTTCTTTTAGAGAAGATTTCTGTCCCCCTCCTATTCCTTCTTTTCCTCGTGGCCCACCGCTAGGCCGCCCTTATTGGCGTCGTTGTCCTTCTTGCCGCAGTAGATGCGGAGGATGCGGCCATCCACCAGCTCGACGACCACCTGTTGCTTGGCCAGGCCCGGGACGTCCGTCATGAACACATGCGCGTCCTGAGTCTCCTTCCAATCCATCGGTGGCGGCGTCTACCACGGCACCGCCAAGCCAAAAGAACTCCGCAAAGATGCGAGACAACGCCAAAGAATATCCTAGTCTTCATCTTTTCGCGGTCCACGAACTTAATCGTATGTGTCATTTTAATCCTTAAACTTTAGTTGGGTCTCATATTCATCCAAACGGATATGATTCGTACCCGTCTTCATATCCGTTTGGATGAATATGAGACCCAAACAGAGTTTAAGGACCGAAATGACACTTTCTGAGTTCGGGGACTGAGATGATACACCCCCACAAGTTTGATATTCAATAAAATACCATCGATGACTAACAAGGTGTGGTGGTGGAGGGAAGGTTACAGACCTAGGGCTAATTAGTGATATTTTGTTTTCCTCTATAACATTCGGTGTTCTTTTTTTAGGTTTTTAATTTTATTTGATTGTTACGTACTCCCTCAGTCCTAAAAAATACCATCATAGGTTTAGACTAAATTAAAATTTCTTAAGTTTGTCCGTTTTTATAAAAAAATACTATCAACATTTGTATCTCCAAAAGAGATATATTATGAAAACGAACAAGATCTATAAGAGGTTCAATTATCCATCTAATGATACTTATTACGCATCATAGTTATTAATACCTTTTTTTATAATTTGATGTAAGGTAAGATGGACTGACCCCTTATAAAGAGAGAACATTCATTTTGGATTGGAGGGGATATATTGTTGCCGTATATGTATTTCATCATGCGTAATTGCTGATTGTTTGAACGGCCTTCCTATGTCTAAACTTTGGCTGCGCCACTAATCAATGAAGTTTAGATGTTTATTAAGGAAAACTCAATAAATTTAGGTTTTTTAAGGAAAACTCAACAAATTTAGGTTTTCTTTTTTTAACAAAACTCAACAAATTTAGGTCAGAAGACGAGCTGCAGCAACCCACTGCACAAAGCCCAATAAGAACGGGAGATAGCCCATCATCTTCGCTGAGTGAGAAGGTGAGAGATCACGCACGCCACAACACGGAAGGGCCCAAAAATTCCTTTTTGCTAGCCTACTTATTTGTCCTTGTCCTGCACCAAACAAAACACACAAATCCACGCTCGACGACTGCCCCTCGGTCGGCCCTTTCCAGCCGCTGATGATCACCCCCACCTTTTGTCCATTGTTTTATACTTTGGATTTTCTACGAACTATGTTGGAATTCGCTGGAGAATGGAAAAACAATCGGTGAGACTGGCCCAAAACTTGCGTGAATCTCACTTGCAGTACTAAAAAATGTCCATGCAGCCCGAGGCACGACGGCCCGGCACGAAGCCCGCATTTTTGGCCCGACCCAAGCATGGCACAACCCAATGGTCAGCGGGCCCGGGCCGGCCCGACCTAGGGGTACAGGCCGTGCCTGGGCCGTAGCTCAAGCCCATGGGTTGGCACAGTATGGCCCGACCTACAAGGGTCGGCCCGGTAGCGGCCCAGCATCCCTCCCCCACCCTCAGTCCCCCACGGCCTGCCAACCGGCGTAGCCCTAACGGCTCCTTCCGCCTCCCTCCCTCATATATAAGCGCGCAGACGCGATGCCCTCTCCCTCACCCCGAACCCTAAATCATTTCCACTCCCCTTGCCGCACCGCTCTCGCCTCGCCGTCTCTGCCTGGCCGTGGCGTCCGACCTCCCGACTCAGGCGACCTCGATCCGCTTTGCCATCGCCGAGCTGCTCCCTACTCCTCGTCTCCTCCTACCTAACCCCCTCCCTCTCTGCCTCTCCCTTCTCCCTCTCCCTATCTCCCCTCTTGATCTCGGTGATTATGTGAGTTTGTGTCCCCGACTCCCCGTCTATCCCTCCTCCGTTGCTCGCCGTCCTTCTAACCGGTGTGTCGTCTTCTTTAGGTGGCCCTCGTCTTCTCCGGCACCGGGCTCCGATTGCGCAGGTACAACCCTAACCCTAACCCTAACCCTCCTCTTCTTCCATTGATGATTGATCTATTCTAATATGTTCTTTTCATCCTCCATCTCTTTACGCAGGTCGGTGGCCGATGCGTTATCCTCTAGCTGTGTCATAGAGCGACCAAGGCTGCGCCACGCACCATTGAGGAACGGTGCTGGAGAGACCTCTACGGTCGAGGGCGCCATGGCTGGTGCTGATGACGAGATCGTCTGGCCACTCACCGACAACAACGATCTGATCACGGCAGGCCTAGCCCCTGAGGACGACGACGACACCCATGAGGACGCCACTTGCCTTTGTTCGCATCGATGATGGCGGCTCTGCTGTTCGATCTAAAAGCATCTAGGCCCCTAGTTGGGTTTCGTGATTAATGACAATACATGATTACTATGACTAACGTGTATTTTGCAGAGACAATTAAGTTAGGTCATGATAATGGAGATCGATTGGGCAATCATGGTGGTCATGCCCCTACGATGGAAATCGTTTCGGTTTTCAAATGATGGACAACAAGGTTAAGGATGGACTAGTTCTAAATGTCGATTGGAGTTGAAGAGACACTTAGAGTAGTTTAGGACTTTGTTTTTCCTTTGGCCGTACTATTAAGGGGGGTATGGACGGATAGCTTGACCTAGGTGAGTCTAGTGGGTTAGGTGTGGTGCACACTTGCTAAATCTAGCACTATATAGCTCCAAAATAGCCCTTAGATCTAATAGAGCAAACTTCATTCACGTATGATCGAGAGTTGGAAGTAAATGGAGGGTCAAATATCGACCGGACGCTTAGTTCCAGATGACCGACGTTGGCGAGAGTTCGGGCAGGTTTATTTGATCAAGGTGAAGTCGCTTAGCGCGACGACGCCGAGAGGGAGTGACCTGGACGCCGAGGGCCAGCGTCCGGTCGACTCCAGTAAGGTTCTAGAGAGGGAAAATTACGACCGGATGCGTTCGGTCACACTTTAAACACTGGAGTTCGGGGTGAACTGACCGGAGCGTCCGGTCAACATGACCGGAGCGTCCGGTCACCCCGCAGAGGCACATAACGGTTCGTTTTTCAGCCGGTGTTATAAATACTTCCTCCATTCGTGTGTGGAGATACTTTTGCTCATTCCAACAGCTGAGAAACACCTTTGAGAGTGCCAAGAAGAGCAAGATCCTAGTGAGGTGATTGAGATTTGATAATCCCAAAGAGAGCCCTCATTAGTGAGATCAAGAGTAGCAAAGTGTGCATCCACCCTTCTCATTAGGCTTGTCGTGGTCAAGTGAGAGTTCGTGCTTGTTACTCTTGGTGATCGCCATCACCTAGACGGCTTGGTGGTGATTGGGAGCTTGGTGATCATCCGGCGGAGCTTGTGGATGACCCAACTCAAGTTGTGAGCGGTTGTGGATGATTCACCGCGACGAAGTATCAAAGAATCAACCCGTAGAGAGCACTTGATCCTTGCGCGGATCAAGGGGGAGCTACACCCTTGCGTGGGTGCTCCAACGAGGACTAGTGGGGAGTGGCGACTCTCCGATACATCGGCAAAACATCGCCGCGTTCCTCCCTCTCTGTTTACTTTGAGCATTTACTTTGAGCAATTTAATTCTTGTCATTTACATTCCTAGAATTGCCATGTTAGAGTAGGATTAGAACTTAAGTTGCAAAACTTTTGTGCGTTAGATCAATAGAAACACTTTCTAGGCACAAGGGGTTAATTGGGCTAACCGTAGAGTTTAATTATTGCAAAGAAATTTAGAATTAGCCCAATTCATCCTCTTTCTTGGGCATCTTGATCCTTTCACGATCGATCTGAACGGCGGCGGTGGTGAAGGGGCGACGGCGACTGGGACCCTGACCTGCTCCAACGGCTCAGCTCCATTTGTTGCTGGTAATTCTTGTGGTGTTGGTACTGGTAAGCGTAAATCTACTTTGTGGGCCGATATTGATGAGATCTAATGGACTGTGAATGGTAGGAAAATCTATACTGAAGCTACCTATAAAATGTGTAAGTATACTTTGTCTACTAGATCTAATGCTGACACTGGCCACTTGAAGAGGCATCAGAAATCTTATAAGTAGAAAACTGATCAAGCTGCTAGGGTTCAGTCTGGGCTTACTTACAATCCTGATGGTTCTATGCATAACTGGGACTATAAACCTGATGTTGCTAGATCTGAATTGTATCACTTGATTGTTAGGCTTGATTTGTCGTTGGGTATTGGTGAGACAGATGCATGGGAGGAGTACATTGTTCGTGTTCATAACCCTAGGTTTACTAAGGTTTCTAGACAGACCACCACTAGAGATCTTAGTAAGCTATTTACAAGTTGTTTAACAAATATGAGAGAAAGTTTGGTGCAGCTAGGTCTCAGAAGCCTGCACAGCTGCAAGCCATACAGGTAAGAAAAAACAGACATGGGGAAGAATCTTTGGAGGCCCTGGATCATCCGGTGTTGTTGATCCTTCCTCCGCCCTGCCCACACTTCATCTCAATCATATCTGCATTGTCTTTGGTTGTGAGCTCACATCTTATCTGGACAAAGGACCATGTCACTGTATATGAGAAATGATTTCGACTTACTTCTCTGGTGGCGTGACCACAAGCTAACCTATCATATCATATCTATAATGGCTATAGATATTATGTCTGTTTCTGTTTCTACCATCTCTTCATAAACATGTTTCAACTTTCACAGAAGGATAATTGAAGAGCGATTTACGACGCTTGTTGCCTGAAATCTGTGGAGATGTCTGGCTTGCATAAAAGATTGGGAGTTAGGAGAAAGAAGGTTACAAAGATGTCGTTGATAACCAAGAGTTGGAAGACTCCTTTAAGAATCTTTTATCTTGATGAAGATGCATCTGGGGCTGCTGCTGCTGACATATCTGGGGCTGGCACATCTGGATCTGCATCTGTGGCTTTTGCTGGTACTTAGTGTGTGAGACTTGAGAGTTGTGAGACTTAAGAGTGATCTGTTGTCTTTGTATCTGTGATGTGTGACTGATACTGGTGAACAATGGTTTAAGACTAAATTAAGAGCTGTGCTGCACTTTTTTCTCTTTTTAGGGTTTCTCACAAGGGTGAGTTTTAT